GAATTTCCTTTCCTTCCGTAATATACTATACAACAGTTTCATAAATTTCTTATGTGATAAACTCTTCCTTCTTACTACTTATCCTGATGTAACCTTCGCCCATTTTCGCCTGCTCCTGTCTTTTACTATCTCAAAAATAATTATTTCTGCAGTTCTCAAATAAAAAGACATTTCTTTGTGATGCTTCTAGTTCTAAAAAAAACCATGCTATCTGCCTGTTGTAAGCCTTTAGTTTCTTAATTTCCTGTTTTAGCAATTTTTTTTTGATCTGTGCATGAATTTTCATGGCAAATGAGTTACAAACGCTAAAGAATTACCTGCGATGGTTTAACAGACTGTATACAGCCAAAGAAATCACTCCAGTGAATATCGAAACGTCGAAAAGCTGTGATATTGAATCCCGGCGGTACGCCACCCACAAAGTGATCATCATCATTCACGTTGAGCATTGTGTTCTGGCCAAGAATTGTTGCTGAACGGCGATCGTTCTCGTCGTCAACCTGAAAGTTTCCGTTTTTTTGCTGCGAAACAAAGCAAATTCGGACAAAAAATAAATACTATCTTAAAAATCAATGTGATTATAAAACTGACTCGCGGCTGATGAACCAAAATCGCATTCTACTGCCTGTAGTGCGGATGCAGCCTGAATGATAACAGCTACTAACAGCTTACTGGTAAACTTGTTATTTACTCTTCTGAGAACTGCATTAAAAAAATCAGTCATTGAATTTCCTGAATTTCCAGCACATTAGACATGCTGGCACTAAATTTCCATTGAAAAAATTAAGGAATCGTAAAAAACCGGTTTTATTAGTTACCAGATTCTGTCACCACAGTAGTCTCAATTCTATTTTAAGCAGTACGACGTGTTTCAAAACGATTGGAATTTCAAAATCTGACAAAAATCCTGAAGGGTAGAGGTACAAGTCACGAAGAAGGATTGAAATTAAAAATAATTAAAAGTTGAAAACACTTGAAAGTAATCTTAAAAAATCTACTTGTAAATGGATCTTGTCACTGTTCCGGATAGCACGAACAGTGTGAGAGCGTCCATCGGCGTAAGATGACTTCTTCGATTCAACACTTGCATACGAATCGTCACCAAGGTTGATCTGACAAAGAAGGAGAAAATTTTGCAACTGTTTTAAAGCAAAATCTGACATCTGACAAAAATAACTATGCTCTGTTTTAGAAGAAATCGTGATAATAAATAATAAGCTGCTTAAATATCAATAAGGGTAGGACAACCTGATGACAAAGTGGTCTGGATGCGCTAGTACTTGAAGACAAGATGGTGAAGCTCAAAACATGCGCTGGACTGCCAGATGACCAAAACTTTGCTTGTTATGTACAAGGAATGTCATGGGACCGAGCCATTCCATTACAGACCCGGAGGCAATGTGCTGCCTACTGTACTTTGCGCTCCGTGAACATTTGGCTTCTTCTTTGCCGGCTTCTCGCGGATTTTCCGCGGCGTTACCAAACTGCTTCTGTTTGGAAAGCCGCTAAGCCAATAATCAAGATCGCCAGAAGGTTAACCATCAGGTGAGGTAGCACTGATCAAAACAACCATGAAATGAGGGAAGAAAACTGCATGGCGAAATCAGTGGTAAATAAAAGTAAGCCAGCAGCCATAATATCTTGACAGAGGCAATAACTTATATTTTAGTAAGCGGTGCACGATGATGCTTGGCACAATCACCGTGTTCCAACTTGCGAAAATCAACTAACCGTAAAAAGAACATGCCCATCACGAAGTTCCAAGCTCAGAAAATCGCCATTTTCTTGATTTCCACGGAAATACAGCAGGCCATCGGGAGAATAGGCCGAAAATATTACAGTAACTTGTGCACCGCTTGGGCGTTCAATGGATGGAAGACGCACTTGTGCAAAACCATCACTTAAAAATTTTATGAATAAATTAAAGTAAAAACCAAAAAAAAAATTAAAAAATTAATCCTTAAAAATTTATGACAGGGGGTCTTATTAATTTATAACAAGGAATTTTTTGGAATGAAATTTTTTTTTGAGGCTAAAATACTGTTCAAAAAGTTCTCTACAAAACTAATTTCAGCCGCTTTCTCTAATTCTAGGAGAGAAAGAAAAAACTGCTGGGAAAATACGGAGATCGTTTTATGTTTGCTATTAGCATGAAATGATTTGAAACTGATATTCTAATTCATTTCGACCAAGGAGAAAATCAAAAATTTTAGATATCTCCTTGATTACCGTAATCAGTCAACGAAGAGAGCGATTTTGATACTGCTCTAATTTATTTTTATTAATGAGGAACTTGAAATGAGTTTACCGGAACATATATCCGGCTGCTTGACTTTCTGGTGCCGCAAAATCACCTTCGCAAGCTTGGTTGCTCTGCGCAAATGCCCACAACGGTAAACTATCACCGTCAACGGTGAATTCGCCGATGGTGCCAAAGAATTTATTGGTTACCAAACCAAGTTCATTCGCCAGTTTACTGTCAATGCCAAACTGAATTAATGTTTCGCCAGGTATCGTATTGAAAATAACGTTCTCGTCCTGAACCTGTTTGCCAAGCGATACAGTGGTTGGCTCACCAACTGTTCTTTCACCCTCACCACTGATCGTGTGGCGCAGGGCCACAGTCAAAGTCACCGAATTGCCAAGTCTGCAAAAATTTTTGATAAATTTTAAAGTTTCAAAAAGCAAAATGGCAAAAAACTGAAGAAAATAAGGAGAGAAGTGTCAGCTTGAATACTGCGTGACAAAATTTTAATTGCTGATGTTTGTTATCAAAAAATTAAGCTAATTTTTGGTTAAAATCGAAAACCATTATCTTGTATGAAGAAAAAGGGCCTAAAGAAAGTTTTGTCTTGAGGAGAAAATTCGGCAATTTTTTTGAACAAACAAAGCGACAGGTCCAATCGAAAATGATTAACGTGAATACTAAGAGAAGAGTTGTTTTAAAAATAACAAGACTTTCCTTCAAAAAAATGGAGGGACCTTTGCACAGTAATAATAACAATGCATAGACCACCCGGACTACCAGTGCTGTATGTTGCTGAGAGCTGTCGTGCCGGCTTTTTAATCCTGGGTTGCATACTTTCGGTTAGTACCCATCGCCTAGCCACCCGAGCATAATAATAATTATTGTTATAACTATAGTAATTATGATCATAATAGTATTAATTGTAATAAAA